CTGGAATTTTAGTCTGTTTGGAACACTTCTGTCGTGCGTACAGACTTTGTAGTTCACGTTTAATTTTAATTAATGTATCATCATAATTTCCCTGCATATGAAACTGTTCATTAGAATAAAAAACAATTTTTCGTAATACATTGACAGCATTGAGACCATCATTCAAAGTTGGCACTGTAAATTGTTCTTCAGTCTCTTCCTGTTCGTCATTTTCCTCTTGAACTTCTTGTACAATATCATCTTCCGTAGCTGGTGCACAAATTGCAATAAAGTTATCTGCACCAATAAACTCCTTAGCTTCAGTAGCAGATATTCTGAGAATTACACTAGACCCTAAACTCGACACGTTTTTGTTTATTTTTGCGATCTTAATGGTCATTTACTGTATCAGATGTGGATACTGTTACCTATTCAAATGTTTACAATACAATTCTCCGAAAATATCAGTTAAATGTAGTCGCTTAAAGGGATATGTTGTAATAAGCAATGTCGTAAAAACCAGTGTTTTTTATAAGGCGGTCTAACAGAATTAAGCCGGCACCTATGATTTTGGTCAATATAACCAGTATGTTGTTCTAAACGATGTCGTAGTAAACGGTTTTGACTGTACTCAAGTGCTCTTATTTTAACTTTGCTTATTACCGATATCCCTCTTTCTTATGTTTCCATTCGTCGAATATATCAAACTTCGCTGTAGTTCCACCATTCACCTGAATTTTGGCACTCGCATGCCTGTATTTCCTTATTAATCGTGCATTCTTTTACTCCGATTTTCCACTCAATGTGCTCAATTTATAGAGAATTACTGTCGATAAGTAACTCATAATTTTTAAACTAAAAAAGTAGCGATTTCCTTTTTTAAGAATTTATTATTTTTGAAAGTAGATAGTAGGTACCAATTTACAATTTTGAATTTATTTTGATTTTGTGGGGGCTAAAGATTTTTATGTTAGTCCCTTCCCTGGCTTACCTGCCCGGTTTTTTGAATCTGAACTTTCACATTTCTGTGTGTTTAGATTTTATGTGCCATGTAATAACAATTTGAAAACGTGAAGATTGTCTAGTCGTTGAAGAAGAAATTATTTGAACATGCAAATAATAATTTCGTGTAGTTTTTTATGAGTGGTATTAATTAATTTTAGACTCCCGAAATAAGTAACGAACTTTCTATTAAGTGTCATTCGTCACTTAATTTCAATAACATTTATCTGGCCAATTATCTATTAAGTAAGTAAATAACGGTGCACTTTCACTAATGCTTGATTTTTTTTGTCTTGCAAATAATCGCCAGTTTCTTTTGTGACGAAAGCAATAACTATTTATCGATAAATAATATAATTAGGTCAAATAAAAAAATACAACGTATGTACCTGAGCCGGCAATAAAAAAATCTTTTAATAAATAATAAATTGAGAAAAGCCAGAATTACTTCTAACAAGTTTTAGAAGATTTCTAATACATGATAGTTCTGATTTAACGAAATATTACGGTTACTTGGCTAGATTGTAAATTAGCTAGATATTGGATAGTACAAATGCCTGAATTGACGGATATACATATATTAGCATTATAACGTTTACAGAAGAGGACAACACTGACGAAGTGACAATACTCATGAAGTGAGTGAGCAATAATTATTATTATGTATCAAATTATCCACTCATATGACCAAGTAAATATACAAATAGAAATACAGTAGAACCTCTTTAAGTCGAACCTCTATAAGTCGAAAACCTCCAAAACTCGAAAAAATGTTTTGTTCCCTTCCCTTAAAGCCCTAAAACCTCCATTACTCGAAATCTCAACCCTCTATTAGTCAAAATAATCAGTGAGTTCCTGCATGCCATTTTGGTACATATTTTCCCTCTATAACTCAAAAAATTAAATTGGACCTCTGTATTTCGAACATAGCAATGTTTTGTTTTACAATCTTTACAACTCGATAATTTGAAACTTATTACGTCTATAGTTCGAAGAAAACTAAATTATCGACTAAAAAAATTCGAAGTGGTCTGTATTGTTGGTCTGTGTTCTGTCGCAGCTGCCTGGGACGCGCTGATGAGATCCAAAAAGATTGAAATCGCGATCCGCGTCTGGCAGTTTCGACAGAATACAGACCACTTCGAATTATTTTATTCGATTAAGCTAACGTGCCTATCACGTTCAGGTTGGCTACGCCGGGATTCGTTTTCAGCAAGTAGATATCCACACAAGTGGACCTTGTTGGAGCATACGTAATCCTAAAATGTAGCATCGTGCTACAGATGGCGTTTACTGCGACATATACTTGATATTTATGAATATTGTTTTAAAAATATTTTCATTATTCTGTAACTTTTTACTACAAATGGCGCAGTAAACGCCCTGCGCCATTTGTAGTATTTTCTAAATTATCGACTTATAGGATTTACCGAAAATGTAAGTGTACTCGATTTTTTTGGCGGATCCCCTTGATGTTCGAGTTATAGAGGTTCTACTGTATTTGAGTACGTGCGGTAATTTTTTATTTTTGCTCCGAGAAAGTGTAATATTTATCAATTTGTGCATAATAATTTTAAATGAAAGCTAGTTTGAAATATCGATAAATAATGAAAATTCTAGATTGTTTAACTTTTAAAAAATACATTTTGACGTTTTTTTGTTTTTATTTTTTATTTGTTTTACATATTTCGCATAATAAATTATTATGTATATTTATCACATTAGTAACCGTAATGAAATCAGAATACATTTATATATACAATAATTACACAATTATCTGGCAACAGAATTAGGTAAATTTTAATTTAAACTCCATATACTTATAGTATTGTTTCTGCAAATTTACATCAGGAAAAGGAGGTGCAAGGATATTAAAACTGTGAACGAATGACCATAACCCGCTTCTATGCTAGGTATTAATAAATAAACATTTCGCTAATTTAAATTATAATGTTGATCATAACGTAACCCTTTTAATATCTATAAAACAATGAATAGATAAATAATGATAACAATATGAAAATGACGAGACGACGAAGGCAAGCAAGTTGGCGATGCTATAGAATTATTCTGATGAGAATATAATACTTATGATGATAGAAATGACGATGAAGATGAAATTGTGCAAACAAAGATAAGTGCAAAAGTTTCATATTTAGTATAAAGGACTCTGCTAATCGTCCTGAGCTGAAAAGCAATGAAAAGTCTAAAGGAGATAAGCTCTTACATTACATATAATAATGTAGTAATAATAATAAAAAACTATATATGTAATAAAACTAATTTTTATATTGAGATGGTATCTTGCGTTTGAGTAATAGTTATTTTTGAAAAGATTAAATATCTTTTTTTTTAGTAAAAGCGTTCAATAGGAAGCCAAATTTGCTAATTTTTCTAAAAAAATAACTCTAATCATACCTACGCATAGTATGATGACACGTAGAATTGTTTCTATAATTAACGTACAAATTAAATGCCTACTGATTATAGTACGTTTCATAAATTAAATTATGAAACCTTCTTCGCATTTCTCACAAATTAATCAAAATTTAGGCTTTGACTGTCCTCTTTGAGTTGGTAACTGTTGCATGGAATCCCGTTTCCCAATCTGCTTTATAAGAAACAGTTCTGATATTACCATCTGGTTCCACTAGAGAATAATGTCCGTTGACAATGTCTCCATTACGTTCTTCTTTTTGTTCTTTGATGTCACCCGTGTGGGGATCATTTACGTAATATTCGAAGTAGTATTGAGGGTGGGCATTCTGCAAATAATTTTTGTAGAATGAATAAAAATAAAAGTCAGTGTACATTTTTGTTAGGTTAGGGTACATTTTTGTTAGGTTAGTGTACATTTTTGTTAGGCGTGTCTGGAGCGTAGCTCTATACGAGTGCGAAACGTGGATGGTGGGTGCGGTGGAAAAGGTTAGAAGCGTTCGATATGTGGTGTTACAGGTGGATGATCAGGATAGGACAACTTATAAGGCATGAAGGGATAGTGAACGACATATTAGAAGTAGAAATGGGACTTTAAGACGAGTAGAGGAATTTTACTCTTCACAATCTTACGACGAATACGAGTTATTGTTTATTGCATGTAAGTTTTGTCTAATTCACGAAATTATTTACTAAAAAAAACCGTATCTTATACATGTACTAGGTCAGTGATGGCGAATCTTTTTTGTAAGCGTGTTAGAAAACAATATTAATTATCGGGCTGCTTATGTGCCGGACAGCATTTAATTGGGAAAAATTGATAAAAATATAGTCGTCTCAGAATATTATTTAGACAATTTCAAGAATTAATGTATAAAAATAATCTAAATTAAAATGATTTGTTCACGTGCCAACAAAATTTTTGGACGTGTCACCTTGGTACTAAGTGATGCAGTTTTACCAAATACGTGAAATAGGCAGTTATACAAACTAAATAGTTGGGCTTTAAGGATGTTTGGGAGGTATGTCATAATGCTACGAGAGAAATAAAAATTTGGAAGAACGTTCCTCATTCAATTCTAAAACTCCTGTAAAAATTGCAAAACGATTCACTAAACCGTTAAAAAGTTATTAACATTTTAAAAAATTGTAATTTTACACGTGGAGATTCGTTAACCGAACACATTAAATTTATTTTTATTAACAGGAAAAAAGTTACCAGAAATTTTAAACTGTTATAATAACTAACTTGAACTCTGGAAAAAGCGTAAGGTTATTCAAATTCACTAAATGGTTATCGAGGAAAAAATGAAAAATTAGCTGAAAATCACGTTTTTACTTGATAATATAATGATAATATTTATAATTGTCTGAAATAAATGCAATTTTAAAGTTTTAATTATTATTTAAACATATTAAAAAGTTTTACGCTCATTATTAATAGAGATTGAAACTAAATATTTTTTTGTTTCGAAGTTGAAATCAAGGCATATTCACTGCCAAAAGTCAGTTAAAAATTTTCCATATTATTCGTTATTTCTTATTTTATTCAAAGTTTTTGGTCAAATTCCAAATTTTCTCTCAAACCGTATACTTTTCTTTTAGTATAGATAGTATTTATTTACCTCATGATATGCTGCAAAACCTAATTAATCACGAAATTCTAATTTTATGTACTCTTGTCTCCGATTGTACCTCCCAAACATCCTTAAGTAAGAGATATGTTTATTGTACATATTATAATTATTGGTAACTGTTCTTCTGTACGTACAAAAAAATAATATTTCTGCGAATTTAAAGTATAAAAATGAATAATGACACCTAATTGGAGTAGTAATGGCAGAGAAGGAGAAAAACAAATTTAAAATTCTAGTAGAGTTGAATTACAACCGTTTTTTTATATCAGACACCAGGACTTTCTATGAGTGTTTTTATTTCCATTTTTCACTAACAATTAACATTTCTTCAGAGTTTTAACATATCTATAGTTAATTACATTTTTGTTCATAATTCTAAGTGAATATTCTAAACATTTAAACATTTAATTAACTGTATAAATGTAAGAAATTTTAGGAATCATGAATTAAATACAAAACCATAAAAAGTCGCTCTGGTACGACTCAGGAGGTCCACACGACTAACTTCCCAGCGGAAAGAATAAAAATACCTACCACGTGTTCTGTTTTTTATAATTGCTATATTATCGTATTATTGCTATGTATTCGTATACTTTTTTTATCTTATTAATAGCCGTGTTAAGGTACGCGCGCGTACATCGGAATCGGTAGGACAACATACGGAGCGGACGCACGGCGTAGTCAGAATTACATATTCCTAATATGCAATAATAATAATAATATTACTCAAAAGATGTTTGGATTTTATATTAATAAACAGTATAATTTGTAAATTCAGCTAGATTGTTCTTTTGTTTAGTGTTTTGATTCTCTACTAAAAGTGACCTGATCGATTTTGCTGAAAAACTAATCAGTTTTAAGTAGCAGGATTATGCGTTTAATGAAATTTTCGTTCTCAAGATAATCGAGAAGAAATATAATTTCGAACCAACATGAGCACATACGAAGATACACACACACAAACATCCAGGGATCTGAAACGTGGAGACATGTCAAAATTTAGGATTCACAAAATCGAACCCATTAGTATAACTTTCCGCCAGAAGCACAGTCAAGTAAAGGACGAGGGTATCATTTACTTAGAAAGTCTTGTTGTCTGCTATAGAAAGCCAGTCGTAATTCAACCCTTCTACAATTATGCTTATGTATAGTCGTAAAATGACAATAAAATTTAAAATTGGTACAAAACATGACAACATCTATTTGGTTAGAAAGAAATTTTCTGAAGTCTACAATATTACTTGATATTTTAAAAGTTTAAGTTCAATAAAAAAAGAATCGGGTAAATTGACATCGGAACCTTTGGCTAATGACAATAAACAAGCATAAATACGAGTTCGATTGACAACCTCTTCTTTTTTTTGAAGTTGATTAAATATAATTCATTTTTTATGTTCAATTAGATATCGTGGGAAGTCGTTTTTAGTATGTGGGTAAGCACTATATAAAGTTATCCTACACAAAATAATTAAACTGTAATTTATTTGTTCACTTGTAAGGGAAGCACTATTTACCTGCTAAGTTATTCAGGGTTGGGCTTACTAGATTTATTGTGTTTATACGATAAAATTGGTATTAAATCTACAGCAGACTTTTACCTTGACCAATTTGTGCAGGTATTTTTTAAAACTAGAACAAACGCAGATGATTAATCATTTTTAACATGTTGTTTTACTATTTAAAGCGAAATAATTGAAATGTAGGCACTGAGATAATCTAAGCATTTATTACATAATCATTACACGGACTGGTTTCGCCCTGTTTTAATGGCAAATCTTTGCTGAATATATCAATATCGTCAACGGAATTGATTGTCAAAAACACACCGCAATACCTAAATGATAAAATCTTAACACTTTTACATTTCGTATTCCTTAAACGTTTATTTCATAGGCATATAAATGTATGAAAAAACAGAGCAAAATGTTGCTTTATTTCAAGGTGAGGAGGTCAAGGCCAATAAATGTGGTCAATTCAACCATTTATTTACCTAAAGAATATTTAAAGGAAGAGGGAGGGGGGTTGCTAAAGTGTTTTGACATTTCCGTTGAGTATCAAAAGGAGTATTTCTATTGTTAGGTGGTTTTAGGGTCGTGTTTAGTAGATAGGGGGAAGGGTGTCCACGAACCGAGTGCCAAAGTTAAGTCGAAAGGACTTGTAATATTGTTGTGTTGTATTATTAATAAATTAGAGTTTGGATTATATGTGAAATAGATATAACTTATATGCAAGCATATTTCTAAGGTTAGACCCAGTCAATCTAAAAAGTAATTATAACATTCGTGATATCATTGCAGTCTGAGTCACTACGAACGTTGGCATATGTGTCGTATGTCGTTATTTAAAATTTGTCCAGATGCAATCTCTCGGTAATGTTTTTTTTTACTTATATACTTACGTAGTACTTGCCATGCTTCTCTTTTTCGTGATCTTTGCCTGCTTTTCCATTGGAATCTGGCGTTACATAAGTAAAAGCTGTAGGTGCGGCCGCCACTAGGCCCTGTCCATGACCAGAAGCGTCGCCACTAATATGTGACGTTGACACGCTTGGGAACGAAGCATAAGCGATAGCAGGTGCTGGTGCTGGTACTTTTACGGCAACTGGCGCCGTTACTAAATTTTTTACGCCAACGGCACCCACTTGTCCCAAATTACCAGAGGAATAAGAATACGACGAAGCTGCGTCATGGGCAAGGTTAGAACTTACACTGGAACTCTTTTGGATAACCGAAGAAGGAGCAGCGTATGCCACTGACGCCACCGGTGCACCATGGATCTGGCTACCCAAGTTGCCTGAGGAGTATGAGTATGAAGAAGAACCCCCGTGTGCTAAATTCGCACTGGAAGAGCTGGATGACGTTTTTGAAACGACTGGGCCAGCAGAATAAGCAATGGAAGGTACAGGAGCCGCGTGAACTGAGGAATAGGAATATGAAGAAGCACCTTTTTGGGAGAGATCCAAACTTGAACTGGAGGATGATTGTTGAATTGAAGGACCACTATACACCGATGATACTACTGGTGATGCGTATACGGCGGGACTTGACACTTTTAATAGCCCTTGTTCGGAACCTAAAGAAGAATAACTAGTTGACACATCTGAAGCTAAAGAATATTTAGATCCCGCACTAGAAGAACCCAAACCGGTAGTACCCGTACTGTAAACACTTGGAGCGGAATAGACAACAGGATTTGCAGCCTTTATCGAGGAACCCAGTAGTGAGCTCTGAGCTTCAGAAGAAGAAGAAGACGACGAATAACTCGACGACGATCCAGAGGAAAGCGAATTATCCAAAACCTTTTGAACTGTAACAGGACTATTATAAGTAAGTACAGGTGAAGCAGCATATCCTACCGAAACAGCAGGTTTAACTGAAGCGGCGTATATGTTTTTGGAATTGTAAGCATCAGACGATAAATAATTAGAAGATACATCAGAAGCTAATGAATATTTAGAAACAGGTGATAAAACAGTCGGCGCATACTTAACACCAATTGGGATATTTTGATTGTATGCTGCTGTGGACAGTTGGGAATTATAAGCTGATGCTGCAGATGCAGACGCTGCTGCTGCAGCTGATGAAGTTTCTTTGGAAGCGTATTGGATAGAAGGACTTATTTTAGCCGATAAAAATGGAACAGCAACTGATTTCACAGCTGTTGATACAGCTGCCGGAGCGGAGTATTCGTACGCAGAAACACCTCCATAGTTGCTACCATATCCAAGTGCTTCGTTTGATCCGTAAGAATAAGCTTCGGAGCCTGTCCCGACAGAAATTCCCGATGCCAATTTTGGAGCTGACAAGATAGATGAATAAGAATTTGAAGAGGAATGCGAACTAGAAGCTTGAGCAGCGGCTGCTTGTGAACTGGAGCTCGAATAGGAAGAAATTGAGCTTGGAATTGATGATGATTTTGCTCCTAGCAAATATTTGGGAGAACCGTAAGTTGATAAACCGGCGGTTACAGCATAATTTTGCTCGGCGGATTTAACAGCGGCGGGAGCATATGAAATTCCCACCGGAGGAGTAGTGTAAGCTACCGATTTGATATGAAGCTCAGGTTGTATTGCATTGTATTGTAGTTGAGGTTGAGGTTGAGGTTCAGAAATGTATTGAATTTGGGGCTGAATGTGGGCGGACTCTACGCTTATTTGTGGTTGAGAGTAATATTGTACTTGAGGTTGAGGATGGGGTGGTAAGTAGGCTTTTGTCGGATTTAGTCCTAGAGCTAGTGCTTTCGCATCTCCACAATTTCTTACTAGATCAGGATCTTCCAAAGCTTCTGTCAGAAGGGCATTTAGTGCGATTTGTAGTAGCAACTGAAACAAAAATTCATAGTAGTTACCATTTTTCATGGAAGATACGTACATATATCCGGTGTTTAGTTCAGTTTAGGAAAATTTGTGCAAATGCCTTTAGTCATATGGCCTTTTCAAAAGATTTTGACAGTTTGATTAGTTAGAAGCTGGTGGTAACAAATAATAGACATTTTTAATATAATTAAACATTCTTTCTGAGGTAATATGGTAACAAAAATAATTATAAATGCTCTTTTTTTGGCATTAATCAAATTATTATATGATACTACTAATAACTAACTAACTATAATACTTTATAATTTTAAAATAAACCACGCCAATGATATTTTCAGTCATCTAGTTAGGTAGCCAAATCCCTATAATATTTGTAAATTAAAAGTACTTAAGTAACTGCTAAAACTTTTAATTTTAACGAGATCAATTTT